GTGGTGCTCGTCTCGTTGGTTAAGGTAGATGAAGCTTTATGGAATAAAGGAATAGCATCTAGAATGTTCCCCAAGGCATTGGAAGATGTACGTCATTATAATACTGACAATTTAAGTTCTTGCACAAGATACGGCAGAAATGGCCGAAGGTAATGGCCGTGTATCTATCAGTGAAGGACATGAACAAATATGCTATACGCTTATACGAGAAGAATGGGTTTAAATGTGTTGGAAAGGATCCAAGTAGCGAGCCATCTAGCCTTTGAATTTGTTAGCTTTGAATCAAACAATTAGTTGACCTGATTCACTTGCCACCATTTTCGACTCACAAAGATCTCACAACGGGATTCGTGCTGTGACATACGTCCACAGAGGGAAAGCCAACAGCAAATGCATTCTTGCTGGGGACTCTATATGTTCCTTCGTGGCTTCACCAACTCGTGCTCGTGCATTGTGACCGGTTTCAGGCAATGCCATACGAATGAACGATTGCGGTTCTGCTATTCAGGAGCTGTATTCCTGTGTTGACCCATGTTTTCTATATGTCAGATGATGCGGAGTATAGTCTTTATCTGTACAAGTACCCGAATCGACGTAGCAAGGACGATGTACACTCTTGAAACCTCCATTTGTATGTTGTCCAATGGACAATGTCCATTAAGTTTATCAGTTGCATGTTATTTGAGGTGTTTATCTTCATCTAGGCTTCGCGTTGTGCTTAATGCACAGGCTTACACATTGGCGCCGCCAATTTGGCGGGCTGTTATACTCTCCTAGTAAGGCTCTTCTTGCAGCAGCATTTTGCCATTTTGCCGTTGTCAATAAGACTCAGTTCTTGCATTTTCACACCACCAAACTTTTCATTTGCAAGTTGCCGATAGCAACTCTTTAGTTTTCCATGGTGGTTGACGGTCAGACCGTTGATCTCAGACAGAACATTAAAGCTCTTTTGAACTGCTCTTAGATCCTCCAAGACTTACACCATCATTTGGCGTCGTTCTCCCGATTACACATTACTCAAGCCAGTGTGCGCACGCCATCGATAATTACGAGACGAGACGGCTAGGGAACCTCGGGCGGTGTCGATTTTAGAAGTTCCATTATACGGACCATCGAGGGCCATGCTCTGTAATGTATCTTAGGAGTTAATAGTATTAATGAGAGCTTCCCTCCTCCTTATTATCTGTCTTATCAACATCTCTTATCAATTATCGATAAAATCATCCCAGCAGTCGAAGCCATTAACAAGGTTAAATGCTGAAGACTTCGAATACAGATCGCTGACTGCTAAGGAAGCGGGTTTCAGAAGACCAATGCCCGACGATGTTCATTATTTCGGGGCAATAAATCCGATAAGTGGAGAGAAGGTGATCAAAGCGGATTTGCAGTCCGATACTCCTGTTTTTCCAGCCTGTGGCGGTAAAAGCGTGGAGGGGCCAAGTGCATGACTTCATACGAAAGCAGATGTAATGGCATATAGCTTTTAGGAGAGTAGTTATTATATCTTTTGTATTCGCTTAGTCCGAAAGAAGTTCAAACTGAAGATGTCGTAGAGACAAGAATTCTCCACCCTCTAGGGAACGGGAATACAGGACTCGAGGAGAAAGTGCTAACATTAGCATTGGACGATGTATTCAGTTATCGCAATCCACTACACTCAAACGATCTCGCTATCTCAGATTAGAGCCAAGTGGCCAGAAGTGAAACGCGTGTATGGAATGAAGGACATGAGAGAACCACAAGGAGTCTTTGAAAGTGCAGGATTTAATTTCTTGAGTAAACTCTCGTGAATCAGAACGCTAACCTCTCTATTCGTGAGCTAACCAAAGCTCGGTTACCAAACACAGTATGTATTTACAAGATATTATCTAGTAATTGTTAGATTACCTACTAAGTATCTTCTGTTGTCAACGCATATCTGTTGGGTAATTGTTAGTTTTCTCTTGTTAGCTTCCGCAAAAGGCTTCCCGTGGTACATTTACGAGTACCCCACTGAGCCCGATCAAGCACCCTCTGTGAATGATCAACCGGTCCCGAAGCCAGCTTCTTGCGGTCCGAGAACACCAGGAGTTCATATCACGTGTACAATTCACGACGACGTGACTTCAACTGAGGTGAATCAATTCGAGTTTCCTATGCGACTCCCCGATATATCAGGCTCGACAAGGCCTCCTCAAACAGCTCCGGGCTCTGCCCGACCCCGTGCAAAAGAAAAAATGTAAGCCTGCCGGTGTTGTCAGGATGTAGGTTTCTCGGTATGCAGCGGTAAGATGGTGACAACGAAAGCCTCCGCTTTCTTAAGATCTGCAAACGTGTTGCCCAAACCAGGCGCCAGCAGTACACTGGAGATGCAGTTGATACTATCGGCATTACAGCAGGTATGATTGTCGGTCACCCTTGAGAGAAAATTTCCATGTATTAGATCAAGGCCAACCATCCAGACCTCACGTTCGCGGTTGTATCGATGGAGCACGGGCCGGCTCCACCCATTGACGATGCGTCAGCGCCGGATAGCCTATTTAGATATATTGGACAGGACTCTGGTAGGCGACCTCGGCGGGCACGTGGTTCGCGACGTGGTTGCTGTTTGTGAAAATCGGTGTTACATCTTGCATGTTTGTACTACGGCAATTCCTCTCAGATTTCCCCAAGAACAAGCTTTACATTTACAAGTATCCTGCCATCGGCAATAAGAAATGATGAGATACTACAGAGGAATTCACATTATTAATACTGTACTTATTTCCGATTTCACTTTTTTCTGCGTCTTTCCTCATATGATGTAAAACTTATTAAAAAACGAGTATTGATGATATTTGTTATACGGCATTTGGATAACACTACTAAATGTTATTGTCATTCAATCCCAGATAAAAAGATATTATCCAATCCTCCATATTTATCGAATACATGTTCTTGTGTGCGATGCTGTTCCTTCCCTTTGCTCTGTGTTGTAATACTATCCCGTTCACCAGTCATATTGCTTATCGTGAGAGTAAGGCTTCCATCGGCCTTCTGAGAATCTGCTCAGGAGTCTGGGCTTCACCTCCCTTTTAGGGATTGACGGGAATTCGTCTACTTTAGGCAGTAGCCGGGGCACCTAGGTTGTAGCATGGTTGCACGTAGGTTGTCATGAGGACCAGGGAGATCGTCGTTTCAGCCATACCTGGCTGGTTTGATAGATTGGAGAAATCTATGTTCATCACGTGTCCACTGTCGAATGTCGATGATCGATTAAGGCCATCGTATCAGAGTTTCCACCATCTTTCATGAGAACCTTTCTCATCACCGTGCTTGCATGCCTCCCGTGGAATACCCACCAAGCATTAGGAGGCAAACAGGCTGGCCACACGAGTGAAAACAAAGGGGGCGGAGATAACCCTAAAGTATGCGTCTATTATCAGCATCAATAACCAAGGTGTTAGGTTGAACGAGGTAGCCCTTTTGGTGTACCGACCTCGCGCGAGGCGAAGTTCATGAGTTTTAACAAGAAAGATGAGCAAAATGTTGAATACAGGCTGAAAAAGGAAGGAGAAATTGTCGGCTCTTCAGAGAACTATCCGGAAGACCATTACTATGTTGCTGTACGTAAAGAAGGGGACGTCGAGAAAGTAGGAACGTTACTGGCACAGGAAGTGAGTGGTGTTCTTCAGGAACAACTGGGTTATGTGACACTGTCTCCCTTTGATCTTCCGATGGTAGTTCGAAGACGCTTGTAAGGAATCTGGAGTGGTCTGCTTTTGGGCAGTTTTGTATTGCTTAGTCCTGAACTGAACCTTAAAGATGAAGATGGTATTTATATTTACCTTTTTATGAAGGAAGTCGACGTGAAAGTCGGGAAAGAGTTGGTATCAAAGGCACTAGAAGATGTAGGGCACCCTCCCTCTCGCAGGGGGCATCCATATTATAGATACCAAAGAGATGGCCCAATGTTAAAGTCGTGTATGCGTCACCACCTAGGGGATCGGCGAAGGCTGAAGTATTCCAACGTTTTCCAAAATACTTTGAGACTTTCGATCACGAGGGTAGGGGTTTCGTTTTTATTACTTTTCTTATCTTCGGTTCATTCAGATGCGACCTATTTTGTTCACAAATTCTAGACTTGAGGTTGTCATGAGTGATGACAGGTTAACCTATTATTGTTTATCAATCACATGTTGAGTGAAAGATGTCTGTGTTATCGATTATGAATTGCGTTACGAGCAAACCTAGCGCACGAGAGAAAGGGCTTTTACACGGCCTCATCCACTGGACAAGTTCAACGCTTGCTGGACTTGCTGAAACCCCCCTTAACAGCAGAGGCAACACCCCCTTGAATCTGAGCGTTTAAGTTGGATACGGGTCGGCCCTTTTTGATTGTGTTACCCTGTAAGGTGCGTCTGTTATTCGCCCTTATATCTGTTTGGCTTCCTGACCCAGGCTAGCAGAGCCCATATATACGCATTTATTCAACACGTTCATATGTCAGTGGCAGCAAGCCGCAGAGTTAGTCCGTTTGTTCCTCTCAATTCTCTTAGCTCTTTGCCTACTACACCAGAGATCACCCCACGGATAGGAATGGCTACTACTGTTGTGAGTCTGCGAATCGGCCTACACCATTTCCAGACCAAGTTAGTAAAACCCCAGACCCCTTTCACACCGATCGTGTTGAGGCACAATATTGCCATTATCACTTTGATCCTTCTATCTGTGCTACCGATGGTTTATTCGGCGTTGCCTCCTATTTTCGAAACCGTGGGGTTTTGGCCATCTTTTAAACCATTTTTTCATGGATCCGCACCTCTAACACATTCCGCGATCGAGTGTGCGGGTCAGAACTCAGACGATACGTTTAAACAAACGTATCACTTTAAGCATACCTTCTCGAGAACCGCGAGAACATCCAGTCCTCCAACGCAAGTGAGGTTGACATAAAAGTTATGTTATAGGCCCAGAGTCCTCACAGTTCATCGAAAGTCTTCTCAGTACGGCCAGAATAATTTAGCGTTTGTGCGATCATTTCCGTAGCTTAGTTCGTTGAGCATAGTGTCTTTTAAACATGTGACCCGGGTTCGATACCTGGGTTATCATTTTCAAACCGATTTTCTTCTGTCTTGAAATCACTTGGACTACTTTCTAAGAAGTTCGATACGCGAAAGAGCATTATGAATCTATAACAAGCAGACGGACAACTTTTGACAAACACTTACGCGAAGAGGCAATCTGAGTGGATCTTCTCAAAGGTCCTAGTAAGTGTTCAGTTTAAAGAAAGGACGGTCTCTCAACATTGTAGATCCTACAGGTTTTGTTACTGTGGAGGTCTTCAGTTTACCAGCTATTGGCACGTCCAGTTTCCTATTAAAAATTAATGAGAGAAATCAGTGGTATCGAAATACTTCTGGAAGATTCCTTCCGCGAGCGACAACGGCGGGACTCTGTCGAGGGATTAGTGAGCAGGAAAAACCTGTCGAGAGTGGAAGCATTGAAGGTGTTTAAAAAGTGAGTATGGATAGTGCTTAGTGAGTATGTATTAACATCGGGAAGGTGATGCAACAGATAATCATTTTATTATGTTAATCGTTATTAAATCCGTTATTGAATCACTAGAAATGTTCAAGTGGCGAGTGTTGATAGTGTGCAGTCACTATGTATCATACATTAATAACCCCTTTCATCATTATTAATCTCACTATTACACTCGTTATTAAATTGATTATTCAATGACTTCATTAATTATCAGTATCTATAATATTAAATTATCAGTATCTATAATATTAAATTATCAGTATCTATAATATTAAATCATCAGTATCTATAATATTAAATTATCAGTATCTATGATATTAATGAATACCGTATTATATAATTAATATTTAACTTCTACAGAATTGATAGGACAGATAGAAGCTCCACTTAGGGCTTCACTTTAGGAGAGATAGAATTATTAGTCAGTTACCATTGAAACGAAGAGGAATATGTCCTCCCTCATTTTTCGGCAGGATAATTGCGGGCTGTAGGATTCATAACAAAGAATGAGCCGGAGAACGGGGATCCGCTCGAAATGAATTTGTTAAAGGTCGTTACGCTTAAATTCGTTTAGGTTAAAGTATGGTGGTAGGATACGATAGAAAGTTGCTCAGAAAAAGGTTTCTATTCTTAGCACATTCTTCAGTTAAGAGCATCTAGTTAAGCTATTCTTAGTCCAGAGGGCGGTCTTATAACATCTGTATGAGTTCGGATGAACGCTTGCTAGATATGAGAATGCGGTATGTTTATTGCGCTCTGAAGAAGGCCTTCGACGATTTGCGCACTGTGAAGATTTTGGGATATCCTTCTTTCGACGACAGCAAACGCATGCCACTTGCGGTGTGGCGTCAGTGGCGATGATAAAAGCGTCTGTGGAGGGAAAGATGATGAGCGATGCGGAAATTATGGAATCTGAATTCTTCCCAGTGCGAAAAGATACGCTTTTGAAGCATGGCCTGACGCTAGCTGAGCTGCGTGAGTGTTGCTTTGCGGTGTTCAAATGGGAGACAGAAATTGTGCAACCGCGGAATGTGGAGGAATTAAAGAATCTTTTTACGCACCGTGAAGGTTTTTTTATTCTGAATTATGATATGACTCTTGCCGGACAAATTCCCTGGGATGGCCATTTCGCGCCGATTGCTGCTTTTGACGCGGAAACGGCTAGCGTGTTGCTCCTGGATCCTTGGCCTTACACCGAACCTTTGTGGATTGGGCTGGAGACGGTATGGGATTCTATACAGGGAGTTGATAGGCGATCGGGGAAGTGTAGAGGAATCTTAAGGATCATGTTATAGCGGAAAAGCGTTTGAGGATGTGGTGGTTGTGTTAACTGGAATGATGGATTGGCTATGGATAAATCCATTTCCTATTTGTGCGATATTCATTCTAGTGATCATCAAGGCGGGAATAATACTTCACAAGTGACGAAATGACAAGTCGTGGTAGCATATTTTTGTAGGTCTTATGGTTGACTGTAATCTTTGAAGCTTGTGTTAAAAGTTGGAATAACAAATTTTTCAGTGTAATTATTGCATATATTTCTTTATATCAAGATGGCACGTATGTCGTTCTTGAATACAATCTATATTTCTGTCAACGAATCATTTCTGTCTAAGTTGCGTGGGAAAGAAGAAATCAGGAGTTATATTGTTGTCGAAATGATTCTCACTTAATCATTCTGAATAGTATCTTGTAGTTGGATTCTATTGCATTTCCCTTTCAGTTATACTTTTCCTCTCGGGTAGTATTCCCTCCCTTGTGTTCTCTTCAATCGCGTACTTGAAGTGCTCGTTGGTACTTCCCTTGCGTTAGAAATGAATTCCATTTTCTATTGCGGGATTTTTTACCGACTTTTTTGCCCTGTACCTTAGTAATGTTTTAAGACGTTAACTTCTGATTGTTCCTATGTTATTAAGGACTCTCAGTAGAGATGTTTTTTCGGCAAAGAGCAAAATATTTCCCCATAAATTTCCCTATTTTTCAGGAAGCCTACGAGTGTGAGCGGAAGCGTAAATTTTATCACTAAACAGGAAAATCTGTTTTTTCGTTTAGTTTTTTCTCATTGCTTTTTATTAATAATAACGTCTGATGGCAACAGACGAAGCCGTACAAGTGGGGACTCCACAGGCAATTATAGAAGAGAGCGGTACGACACAAAAAGAGACAGAAGTCGCTAATTGGTGTGATTCAGGAAATCTCAATGAGGGGGCTGGTCTGGCTCATACTAGTATATTTTTGCGGGAGCATGCCTGGTTTTGTACACCAAATGTCAAGGTAGTACTATATGGGGAAATCAATCATTTGCTGAGTTGGAAACAAAGTTTCGTTTGAAAGAAAGAAAGAAAGAAAAATATGAAAAAAGTATTTTTCGAAGGACTTCTTGACTGCTTAAAATGTTATTACATTCCTATAAAACTTATTTATAGCATCACGAACTACATGCTGTATTACGTTCCTTCACTGGAGAGCAGAGTGATGTCGAAAATAACGATATTTATTTTCATGTCACTTCCTTCCATCAGCGAGGATGCGGTTTAATGGTATTGAAGGTTACTAATATTATGAAGCGACTTGCGCCGATGCACGGTCGCTCGATACACTTTCATCGGGCTGCGGGTTGAGCTAATTAAGAAAATAGGCTGATCATCCATACGAACCGATTGTAATGAGGAAGTTGCATCTTACATTATACCATTATTTATTTTTATATATACAAATTCTATATTTTTCTGGCGTTGTTGGTTTCTTAAAAGCTCATCTGCCATACTTGTTATCAGGCGCCTGGTCTATTGACAATATCAGAGAGTGCATCAACATTGCATTTCGAGCCGGACCCGCGATTTGAACGTGTGCGGACGGAAGGCATGGGGGCTTATCAAGTACGGTGAAGGCTTTGCCCTGCTGAACTAGCTAAGCCTGCTTTCAGGTTTATATAGATTTGCGTGATTTAGTAGAATGCGGAGCGGTTACCGTGCCGACTGATGAGCTCGACTCGGATCAGATGCCCAAGGGTAGTATAATGGAAGACACGAAAATTAAATATACTGAATACAACATACGTCGTCTTGATGAAGTGAAAAGCTACGAACTGCTACTGCCAGCTTTATACGGGCTGAATTAGACGCATTAACCCTTTCATAGATATCTCAAAATAGAGGGTGAAGGATAACCACATTATGTGGGTAGTAGTAATAAACACTGATGTGAGTTCAGTCCGGTCAAAAATACTGTTGGTAACTTGTCGAACGAATCTTCCTTGGACAAGGCTTATCGTCTTGACTGTTTTTAAAATATTTTCTTTTATCGTCGCCTCTTAAAATCCCATTTGTATATAACCAGCTTTAGCGCGTTCCTTATATTGTCAACAAGTATGTCATCTATTCTAAAGCGCATAATCCGTATTAGCATCTGGGCACGTGTAGAAGTAATAAGCCTCCCAATCAGCGCCTTTAGAGCTTCGCGGCGCCGTTTAGATTTTGATGCGTTACGAAGTTCAATACGAATTTTCCCTGGCGAACGAAAAGATAGCATTTTCTCCGGTTTCCACCAAATCCTCCGGCCCATAAAGGGTCTGCTGCGAAACTCACTCTTCGCTCATACTGAATTTTCCTCAGGTGCGTTTGGTCATTACGGTGAAGTTGACCCCGATGAGTATGCAGCGCATTTCTTGCAGCTTCAGGTAGGCGGACCTGATGCCGGCGCGGTGATTCTAGAGGCAGTGTAATGACATGAAACGGTTGTTCGATTTAGATATGCCTATTTGCAGCACATAATTTGCTACGGTAGATGAAAAATAGTCATCGTAAAGGAAATAGTCAATTTCATCGGGGACCCCCCGACGGGAAGGGATAATGGTTGTTACCCTTATCGCATCCGGATTGTTTGTCCTCTTATAATTGTGAACCTTAAATCAACTTTAAGGCTACTTCATACTTTATTGTCATACTTTATTCTCTTTATTACTTTATACAAGCTATAGTTTCATGGTAGCGATAAGAATTGGAATTACTGTTACTCCCTTCTCAAGTTTCCCGTGTCTATATATGTCCATATTATTTTAATAATATGTCCATTAATCCAATTTATCATTATAAATCAGTAATTCGGATTCTTTCCGGGTTTGGGTTTGTAAAAAACCCGGTTTGCAGGAAAATTTTGTGTTAGTATTACTAATTCATATTTTCCCTCTAAGCCCCATTTAATTGATTCCCTTTAGTTGACAACGCTGCATGGTCGACGTAAGCATCGAGTGGCGTCAGAAGGCGTCTCGGACCGAAGTGACGCCGGCAGTCCAGGCGAGACGAAGGCTCGACAACAGCGGCAGCAGCGGGAAACCCCACCGACACCTGACGATAATGTTGTGGTGTTTCAAGTACGTCGGGAAGAGGGGAAAATATTAACTTGCATTTTTACTGAAGAACTAGTTGCCGATAGAGAGATACAAAAGATGTCATCGTGGCATTGTCATATGGTTGCGGTATAGGGCTTTTTTATTGAGAATCTTGATTGCCTGAGAGTTGAGCATTTTGGGGTGTCACAGGTGAACTGGAAAAAGTGGTTAAATA